GTGCATTACGTCAACGTTTAAGAAACGAACAGTGAGAAAAAGAAATCCAGCCTTTGTTGAGAAACTTTACTCTCGGGAATCCCGGGCTTGGAACGAGGCAACATCCAGCTGCTTTTAATTTCCAACTGAAAAACAAGGGGAAAAAAGAAGACGGCGGATCCTTGCGCGTCTCTTGGCGACTATTCGTGAAAATTGAACGTCACTCTTCCACAAACGAGGCATTTTAGATTTTTTTTTTTTTTTATGGGGCATTAAATAAACGAAAAATTGCTGCAAGTTTTAGCGATGATATACTGTCGTTCGAGAGGGAAAAAAGGGGAAAAAAGGAAGAAAGGAAGGAAGGAAGGAAGGAAGGAAGGAAGGAAAAAGGAGAAGAAATTTATCCATTATAATAATGAAAAGTTATCTCCATGTTGAAGTGATTAATTTAATTTTAAATTTTCCTTTTTTTTTTTTTTTTTTTTTTGGATTAATTTTTGTGATTTATACATCACGTGAAATGAATGACTATAATGTATTATTGTATTATTTTGTTTTTAATATACAACGAATTTTATATTATATTGAAGATATGATGATTTTTATTTTTACATTAAAAAAAAAAAAAAAGAATCTGTTTTATATGAAAACGATTCGATCAACCGAAAATATAATTATTTTCGAAATATTTTGAATAAATCAGAATTTATACCACAAAATAAAAAATTGCGGATAACCAATCCCGCGTATCGTATTTCCATAACGTATTGTATTTCCAACTTGCTCTCGAATGCTTTAATTTTTATTTATGCGATTTCCTGTAACAAAAAGCAACAATTTTATATCATCACGTTGGAAAGGAGAAAAATTGTATCGATGAATTTTTTCGCCAAGAGAAAGAAAGTAGCATCAATCCGTCAATTAATATATATTTCAACTATAATATTATTTCACCTTATATTACAAATATTTTTGTACTCCTATAAAAATTGTTCCATGCATTGAAAAATTTAATGGAAAAATATTAATGATATATTATTTCTACGATAAATTATAATATATATTATAAATGTTAAGTATAAAAAAAAGAAAAAAAATATTCTTCCAATTGAGAAAGTTGAGAAAAAAAATTAAGAAAAAGAAGAAGAAGAAGAAGAAGAAGAAGAAGAAGAAGTAAGGAAATGAAGATGAAGGTACTTAAAAGGCGAAAGAAATGATTGAAGCGAAAGTCGGTTGGGGTAAAACGCCGAAAAAAAAAAAAGGAAAGAAAGAAAGAGGAACGCTCTTAAGTTATTATTAGGGTGTATTTCCCGGAGGGATGTTTCGTTTCAGCTCGACTAATGACTGCATCAGAGTAGAAACAAATTTGAACGGACCCGACTTCGTCACATCGATCCTCTCTTTTTACTCTTTTTACTCCGTCTCTTTTTAATTTTTTCGTCATTTTTTTTTTGCGTATCCTCTCTTCCAGAAATGTTTCTTCCACGATCCAAAATTATTTAATCATCGTATCTGAAAAAAAAAAATAATACAAGTTAGTTGAAATTTATTTTAAATTATTTAATTCTTGTTTTAATTCAATCGGTTATATAATATTTTCAAATCTCTCCAATATTTCTCGATAATTTCTTCCTTTTATATTCATCCACTCGTCACTTCGTTTCGTTTCCATTGGTTTCCACGATCTTTTCACGAGTCTTCTACTCGTAAGTTTTGATAATTTCTCGTTTTATTAAATATTCGCAATTTCACATTCACTTTGGACGAGTATCGCAAAAGTTTTTTAATGGGCGTAATTGGTTATCACGCGATCGAAGTAACTGAAACGTTTCACCGATTTTATGCATGAAATTAAGAGGTGAAATGAATCAGCTGTTGAATAATTTGTACGTGCCCGTGCATTGTATCGGCAAATAACGGATACCAAACCTGTGTAATTTATTCGACTCAGTTTTCCTTTTTTTTTCCTTTTTTTTTTCTTTCTTTCTTTTTTTTTTTTTTTTCGATTTTGAATGGAGGAAATATTCGTTCGTTCGCCGAGAGGATATCCTTGCAAATTGATATCGGGAATTTCACGTTGACATTTAATAGTTTTTCTTTTTCTTTTTTTTTTTTTTAACTGGTCTCTTTTAAGAACAAGGATCAATTTACAACGGGAAAATTATTCTCGAATTTTTCTTCTTTTTCTTTTCTTCTTCATCGAATTTAGATCTCGGAAAAAATATATTTACAAGAGAAACTTAATAAATAAATAATTTATGAAAATATTATCTTGAATAACGGTTGAACGACCCGAATTCAGTTTCACGTTAATGAATAAACGAGAAGAAACTCTTAATCTCGAAATCAGAGTGGAAAATGTTTCTAGCAATAACAAAGTTTCAATTTATCCGATTTTTTTTTTTGGTCGATAAAATTCCAAATCCAAATCGCGATATATAAAGATATAGAATCTCGAATTAAAGTATGTCCTTCTCGCTCCTGTTAATGTTTTCTGTTATCATCTCTCCCTCTCTCACACGCTTTTCCACGCCACACCTCCTTATCCCGTATATTAAACGGTGTTCACGGTTCGCCAGTCAAATTGAATTCCAAGCTATTGGCAGATTCTCAATAAGCTCCAACAATGGAGTCTGTTACACGAGCCTTCCTACTTTCCTACCAACCTCCCCCTCTCTCCACCGCTCACTCTCTCCGTCATCCCACTTTCGGTGGTGCCACCCCTCCCCTCCCTTCTCCCCCCCGCAGGTCGAACCGCCACCCCTTTTCTTCTTCGGTTTCCTTCAATTTCCGCGGCCGGGAAAGCCATGCCGGTGCAAGCTCACGGAAATTGGAAATAAATCGCGGCGATATCGATGCAAAACGCGCGACACCGATCGTCCACCACCACCACCACCACCAAGAAACCACCTTTGTTCCGTGCACGAGAGGGACTTGGAGGGCTTGTTTCGGGGTAATACGTTTCCTTTTAAGTGATTTTTCCGACGTATTTTTTTTTTTTTGGAAAGAAAAATTTTTCGCAACAACTTCGAAAAATATTAGACTTTTAGGGAGGGGATGATTATTACGATGCTTATTTGCAAAAGATTCTACGAGATCTATTCGAAAAATTTATATCTAAGCTTGTTGACTCAGAAGAAACAATTCAGAACTCCAATTTCCAACCTCCACTTCTTTCCCTAATCCCTTCCCTCGCGATAACAATAAACTCCAAGTTTAAAAGAATTTCTCACGCTTTGTATAATATACCAATACACCGATTCTCCATCTTGCGATATCGTAGAAAGAAAAGGGAGAAGAAGAGGGAGGGAGGGAGGGAGGGAAGAAGGGGAACGGCTCAGACGCGGGAATAATTAAGCGATTACCCATGATCGGGAGGGGAGGAGGATTTTTCGTCATAGCGAAGATTTAATTGGTCGAGATGTGTAGTGAGGAAGATAGGCGGTTGCATTGTCTGCACGATGTTAAGAGGGTTAACCCCTCCGCGCGGAGGGGTGGAGATGGTAGGCGTGCAAGGGTGGCGGTGTAATGAAGAGCGACAGTGGCGCCCGGAGCCATCGCTAATTTGCCGCTAAGTGGCCGGCTTTGTTTCCGTACGTTGATCCCATCGTTCGCAATATCCTGGATCCGAGGCGATGTTCCGCGCCGCTTAAGAGATAGACATCCAAATAACCCGGGGCCCGCCTCCCGGCCATTCCTCTCGCTGCTCTAATTTCGACCGTTTCCACCTGAGGAAAAAGAGAGATTGAAAATTGAGATGGATCGTGGCCATCTTCAACGAAACAATTTTTTTTGAATTTTTAAAGAAAGGGGAAGGGATTGGCGTTTCCAGAGATTTATTTGATTTTTTAATCGTGAAAATTTGTCGCAAGGATATTAAATATTGGATATTAAATTTTGGTGAAATGGGATTTGGAAAATTTAGAAATTTGTCGAGATATTATTGGTAAGAAAAATTTTGGATCGGAATTTTGATTTTTCGTTAAATTTTATTCGCGTTTATGGAAATTCTTCTTTTTCTCGCGTAAATGATGGATTTATCTTTAGTTAGGAAGGGTTATTTTATTAAGTTTGTTGCAAGATATGAATATTTTTTTTAGAAACATTTTATAACACTTTTCTCAATGATTAATTCGTATTTACAATAATTACTAAATATCCGTGCATCTCTTGCGATTTCCTCGTTATTACATCGTAATATATAGGTATTGTTATCATATTATTTCACGCAATTTGAACATGAGGTAAAATTACGTTCAATGTAGTGTAAAATAACACGATCCTGGATAAAGAACATTCATATTGTCTGCAATCTTTGTAACCATGTAATTTTTCACATTACCTTTACAAAAATTTATCTTCAAGTAATTTTATCCGACACTACATAATTAGTGAACTAGATAATTAGTTATAATTTAATTAATAAATAAAGAAAAATAAAAAAATATTTTAACAAATTTAATAGATGCTTCGTGATATCAATACGTAATATTATATATAAGAAAAAATTAATAACGTGATGTGACATAAAAATTCTTATCTACCAATCTTATCACTTGATGACTTTCCTTATCATTTTAAATTAATTTAATTTATATAAAACATAATTTACGAAAACACTTTTTCGATCTCCTAAAAATCTATTTTCTAAATAAATGTCTACGAAAACGTAGACAACTACGATAAATCATCCAAACATTTCTACACGATAATTGTGTATCCCCACTCGATCTGTCAAACTATCTAAGAATCTAAGAATCTAAGAATTAAAATACGTTTCCCGAAAAACATATTTTCCAAAAATCTCAAAATCCATTACCGGTGAATAATGAAACCAGAATAGAAAAAACGAAAAAAAAAAAAACAAAAAAATCTTTCACACTTTTGACACTCGGCAACGATTAAACGCGCGACGCAATTAAACGGTTTAATTATAAAACCATATCAACGATTATCGCAGAAGGGAGATGAATGGCATTGAGACGTTACTGCTTACAGCTAAATAATATCGTCATTCGCCGAGGCGCCTCCTCAGTGTTCCGCGGTAACGAATATAGCGAGCATCGTGTCGACTAAAAATCGCAGGCGTAGAGAATCGAGTCGTACAGAAGAACAAGATCACTTTGTAATCAATCGATAAAATGGAGTTTTTATCCTTGTCCCTGCTCCTCCTCGCGATCTCGATTGTAGCCTACTATTACTGCTTCGTGAGGAAAAGTTTCAATCTGTTCCAAGAGCACGGCATACTTCACATCCCGCCGTCCCCTCTCGTGGGTAATTTGGGCCCGTTGATCAGAGGAAAGGAGAACATACACGACACTATTCAGAGGATGTACAACATCCATCCTGACGTCAAGTACGTGGGTATATTCGAGCTTCTCACTCCCGTGATAATAATACGGGATCTGGACCTGATCAAGAGCATCACCATGAAGAATTTCGACCAATTCCCCGATCACCGCCCCATGTTTTGCAAGAGCGTGGACCCGATGCTCGGCGAGATGTTGTTCATGATGGACGGGGAACAATGGAAGGAGCACAGGAACATGCTCACGCCCACCTTCACCTCGAGCAAGATCAAAAATATGTTCTTGCAGATGTCCAAGTGCGCCAAGAGATTCGCCCATCACCTGTCCACAGTGCCCGAGAAGGAGAGGGAAATGGAGATGAAGGCGTTGCTCACCAGATACACCAACGACGTGATCGCGAGTTGCATCTACGGGGTGAACGTGGACTCGATAAAGGAGCCTAGGAACGTGTTCTACATGTACGGCAGAGTGGGCGCCACTCTGATAGGGTTGAAGAAGAATTTCAAGATACTCGTGCACAGGAACATGCCTTGGCTGGCCAACTTGCTCAGGCTCAACATATTGGAGAGGCACATAGCGAAATTTTTCACCGATCTCGTGGTGGAGACGGTCGAGGAGAGGGAACGGAACGGGACGACGAACTCGGATCTGATCCAATTGATGATGGATACGAGGAACAAGAGGGAATCGGGTAAGAAGAGTCTCACCGTTCAGAACATGGCCAATCACGCGTTCAGCTTCTTCTTCGGCGGCTTCGACACGGTCGCGTCCCAGACGTGCGTGCTTCTCCACATGCTGGTCGAGAACCCCGAGGTCCAGGAGAGATTGCAGCAAGAGATCGACGAGACGTTGGAGAGGAACGACGGCCAATTGTCGTACGAGGTTATACAAGAGATGAGATATCTGGACGCTGTGATAAACGAAATTCTCAGGCTGCATCCGATCGCTGTTTTCATAGACAGAATGTGCGTCAAGAGTTTCGAGCTGCCCCCCGCGTTGCCCGGCGACGTGCCTTTCACCGTCAAGCCGGGGATGAACGTGTGGATCCCCGTCAAAGCGATCCATCGGGATCCCAAGTACTACGACGATCCCGAGAAATTCAAGCCGGAGAGATTTTTGGACAATGGGAAGAGCATTATGAGCTCGGGGGCGTATCTCCCGTTCGGGATCGGGCCCAGGATATGCATAGGGAACAGATTCGCGTTGATAGAGATGAAGGTTTTGGTCTGCCATATTCTTGCAGTTTGCGATATAAAGGCTGGACCGAGGACGGGGATCCCGTTGGAATTCGAGAAAGGCGTGTTCAACGCGACCGCGAAAACTGGTTTTTGGCTGAAGATCGAGCCCAGGAAATATTCTTACCACTCCGCTCAAATTAACGGGTTGGTTAACAACGACGTTATTAACGGTGCGTGTAAAACAGGGATTTGAAACAGGATGATATTCAATTGTTTGAATCGGGAGTTTTGAATTTTTTAAATGTGTGGAAATTATATTGTATTATATTGTAACGGTGATTCGATTCATTTATTGTGAGATACACGTTTGGTCGTGCTTTTTTTCTTTTTATTGTTTACTTGATATTTGTACGGATAAAATAAAAAAAAAAGAAACTTTTGTGTAATTCATATGGATTACACGATTCATCTTTCCATTATTTATTAATATCATAATAGATCAAACAAACAAACAAGAAAAAAAAATGTTATTATTCTTGCATATTTAAATTGCTTGGATCGAAATTATACTTTTAAATTAGAAAAAACAATAAATACGATCATAGCTGATAATTAAGGAAAACTTTTTACGCGTTCAAAAGAAACCGAAAATGAATAAATGAATAAAATAGGATATAATTGTGAATTGTAAAGTGAAAATGAATTTTACCTTACATTTTTCTGAAGAATTTCTAGATCCTTTTAAAAATTATCATATTTCGTTATCGCATATTTCTCATTCAATGTACAATGTACAATTCGAACGAATAAATTAATAAATAATCGTTCAATATATTTCACGCAAATATTGCTAATTTTTATCTTGCGAGTAAATATTTGCGATTGAGAAAAATCTGTCTGTAGAGTAAATTGTAAATTGTTACTATAAACAATAGTTATCGCAGCGATATGTTTGTTCATTGATAAAAGTGTCAACAACACGATATACATTTCTCCAGATAATATATTACATGTACATATGTATATACGTTATTTGAACACGTGCAATTTGTTACCTCTATAATTCCACTGCTACTGTTTTATCTTACGATATTACTACATGTATATTAAATTATTACGATTAATTTTGTTTAATTATATAATAATACATAAATAATATAAATAATAAAAGTCAATAAATAACAGAGTATATTTTCATTTTTGTTCAAATAAAAATATAACCATGTAAATAGAATTGATTTTTTATGCTTCAAATCGTTTCCATTTACATAATTTCTCGTTCCATCCCCATTTCATTCTCGTCTCTTCTCAATCACAGATCTTCAAAATTTCGAGATTCTTGTTACAAAAGAATCCTAAATAAAAAGAATTCATCACTTTCAAATATCTGTATTTTTAATTTTCAAATTAACTTACCTCGTATCGTGTAATTAAACGTTCAAAAGAAAAAAAAACTTCACTAATAAAATGAAGATGGCAAAAAACTTCCATTTACCATTCGAAAATTAATATGATAATAATAATTAAAGAAAAAGAAAAGAAAAATAAAAAATGAAATCGAAATCTAAACTAAAAAAAAAAAAAAAGGAAACAAGATTTGTTTTTCCTTTCAACCACCGAATCGCGCCTACCAACACAATACACCTCTCGAATCCACCCTTACGATCCTCCAGTTCATTAATTCTGACCAAATGCCTGATCTCTATGGCGTTCGATCGCCACTAGATCCTCCGGTCCTCGAGCTCTCGTCTCCACCGTGGCAAACTGAATTACGTTAGAGAGGGAGAGGGCAGTTTTATCGAGTCAACCTGCCAGATATTTCCTAAGGCATCCAAGGATCGTCTCGAATCGGAAAGGGTGACTTTGAACAACACCCTGAAAGAAATTGCACGCGATAATCCGTTAAATCGTTTCTCGTCGAATAATGATTATTTATGAAAATAATAATAATAATTATTTATAAAAATAATAAAGTTGCGTTATTCCTCTTACTGATTTGTTTGCAATTGTTAACTTCGGTTGTCGTTGATGGTAAGGAAATAATATTAAATGAATAATATGTGGCGCTAATTTTAACGTTGAATCGTTGAGATAAATAACACTGTGATGAGGTCAACAATATTTTTTTTATTAAATCTTGTAAAATTTGCATAACTTCGATTGATAATTTCGGTTTTTCAATAGTCATCCTCGTTAATTTAATTAACAAGATTTGTTTTTTTTTTGTAGAATTAATCGAAAATTTTTTTAATATAAATATTTATTATTAATTTTTCTCGTTTAATAATCATTCGAAGGTTATGAAATTATCTTCGTGAATCTTCTCTTTGAATCTCCATGAATAGAATGATCGTTTCAAAATAAGATTAATAGTTTCAATCTAAGATTCACAACTATTCTAAATGGACATCATAACAATTTCAATTGACATCTATAATAGTTTTAAATTTAAAATTATTTTAAATTGTAGATCCTGCAATTGTATTAAATTGAAACTTGTTAGATAACTGAAACAATCGTAGTAAGTAAACGATTATATTGTAAATTAATTTCTCTCTCTCTCTCTCTCTCAAAAAAAAAATAATAATAAAATTCTTTTCGAAATATCCTGAATAAATACAATTTTTATATATCCTCACTAGATGTCTCACTACTCTTACATTCTCGAAAGTATTCACACAAGACGTACAAACGTTCTGCTCTTCTAATTTTTCAAATTAATTAACGCTATAAAATTCTATAAAACAAAAAGAAGAGAAAACAATTAATCCATTTTTTAATTTACATATTTACAAAAATTTCTTTCACTATATATATACACGTATCCAGAGTTACAACGTTCCAATTCAAAATTTTCATATAAATATAAATCATTCACAGCATTCATCGAGTGAATCTTGAATTTTCCTAGCAAGAAGAATCAAAGTAGGTCATAGATACATACATTCCTTTATATATTATTCGGTAACGATCAAGCAGCTCGAATCGCTCCAGCTTCTATATTACATTCGCTCATTAAAGCAACATTCACAAGGTCGTGTCGCGCCTTTGCCGATCACGTACTGGAATATATTATACGACTGTTACGTACATATAATGCGGCGACACCCTGTTACGTGCCGGACATGCACACAACGCTGATGCTCGTCCGGAGCCTGGATGATAATTGAGATGGACGCATAACACGCGTCCATTATGCAACCGGGCAACTAGTCACGAACCAAAGATCCATTTTTGTTCTATTATTCGTTTTTTATTTCGCGCGATCGGACGAAAAGAGAATTTTTTAAAAGCGTGTAATTTCTTTTTTTCTTTCGACTGTTTACCGGCCGGATAGAAAGAACTTTTTCTGCCCATGGTGAAGAAATTTTGTATTCCGGCAAAGAGGAAGATTGTTCATTTTCGAGATCTGAAATTAAAAATTTTTCCAAGTTAGAATAATTGTAATCTTGGATTATATAAAAATCAATTATGAAGTTCACTTACTTATAAAAAAAATAAGCAGAAGATTGGTGATGAAGATTGAAAGATTTGTTAATGTTAAAATTTCAAACAAGGATATCGTTGTCTTATTAATTTTTTTATTCATAATTAAAGAATAATAGATATAAATCCATACACAATATACCATAAAATATACGAAGCAATCAAATTTGATTGTACATTAACGTGATCAACGTGACACATTACAACAATGCTAGCAACATTGTAAGAAAATAATATTATAAAATCTACGTAATCGTTCTTGAATCCCAAATTCGTGGAACGATTCGTGGAAAATTCGAACGAATTTAACATCATTTTACATCAATCGTCAACATGACGTACCATGGCAATACTAAAAATAAGCATTGTGAGAACAATAATAATATAATTAAATAACCGAGATTTGAAAAAAAATTAATCAAATTTAATTTTGCGCCAATCGTCAATATGATATTGTAACAATAAACATTGCATGGGAAATTAGCAATCTGATTTTAAAATTCGCAAGGAATCGGAAGAATTCGGGCAGAATCGGAAAGTTTCAAGGATAATATCCTTGGTTGTGTGAGATAATCTTGAACGATCTCGTCCGAATTCTTCCGAAGTGTGCCGAAAATTTCCAAATACCGATTCCGCTCGAACGTTTCCAATCATATCCGAAAATCATAATCGAACAATAACAAACAACAAATAACAATAACACTTAAACAATTAATTTACCTGTCTTTATCTATTTTTTTTTCCTATCTAAATTAACCAATTTTATAAATTATAAATCAATCAATTTTTTTGTTGATAAAGAAAACGACTTCCTCCGTTTGATTTCCATTCGTTCTGCGCAGTTTCTTCCTTTTATATAATCTATCGATGTAAGAGAATGAGGCAAAGAAATTGATCAGGTCTGGAGTGAAGCTATTTTAAAATTCTATAGTATGATGTCATTTCATAGAATTGACCGATTTATAGCAGTCCAAGTACAGTTGGTCGCAAAAATTTTCACGGAATTTATAAACATTTTCCAATACTCATCAAATTTTTTTCTCAAAATTAATCGCAAATTAATTATTTATCGTTTATTGACTGAAAATTATATCCCTGTATATCTAGGACACTCGCACAATCTCAAAATTCATTTATAATTCTAATTCCCTTCCTCGATGGACATCTCAAAATAATTATCAATGAATCCTTCTTCATTCTTGTACAACGTGCAAGATGATTCCTTAAAAATAAAAATAAAAATAAAAATTAAAAAAATACAAAATATACGATTACTCCTTCGAAAACTCCTAGAAGATTGAATTTGTAGAAAAAACCGCTGACAATAGAGCTTGTAAAAGATCTTAAGACTCTCGTATCGAAATAATGTAAATACTCGAAATGAGAAAGTGTTTTAACACAGGAATGAATTAAAAAAAGAAAGAAATACCGAATCTCAATTATCAGGATATCTATCAGGGATTTTATCGATAAGCATAGTCGTCCCTGGAACCGCAATTTTCTCAACCCCATCCTTCTTCGCGGTTCTCGGCTCGATCTTGAACCAGAATCCATTCTCGGCGGTCATCGCGAACCCTTTCTTGTTCAATTTCATCGGTATGGTGGTCTTGGAGCAGGGAACGAGGTTGCATCTCGCGAACAGATGGAACAGCAGAACCTTCGTCTCCAACATGGCGAATCTATTCCCTATGCACATCCTGGGCCCCATCCCGAACGTGAGGAACAGGCCAGAATTGATCATCTGTTTCGTGTCGTTCAAGAACCTGTCCGGATCGAACTTGTCCGGTTCCGGGTAAAATTGGGGATCACGTTGAATCCCGTAGATGGGGAACCACACGTTGTCGCCCTCTTTGAGGAGGTGAGGTTTCTCGCCCGGCCTGTTCGGCGGCAATTCGAACGGTTTCGTGCAAATCCTGTCTGTGGCCACCACGACCGGATACATCCTAAGAGCCTCATAAATGATCGCGTCGAGAAACTTCATCTCGTTAATAGCCCCGTACGTCACCTCGCCATCCCGATCCTCCAAAACTTGGTCGATCTCGTTCTGCAATCTCCTCTGGATATCCTCGTTCACGGCAATCTCGTATGCGGCGAAGCACATCAACGTTGAGGTGCTCTCGAAACCGCCGAAGAAGAAGACGAACGCCTGGGCGCATATGTCTATCATGCTCATCTCCCTTCCCGAGCTCAATTTTCCCTTCGATTCCATCATCAGTTGGATCATGTCCGGCCTCACTATCCCCTTCTCCTCCCTCGTCTTGATCGTGGTGCTCACCAGATCGATGAAGAAATCCGAGATCTCCTTCTTGATCAACCTGATCCTAAGCAGGGTGCACACGCTTACAGGCAACACCCTCGTTATGAAGAACTTGATGGACGCCCACGACCCGAAACTGGTCCCCTCCCTCCCGTACACGTAGAACTTGTTCTTCCTGTCCTTCATCGAGTTCACCTCGACGCCGAACGCGCAGGTGGCGATCACGTCGTTCGTGTATCTGGTGAACGCGTCCTTCAACTCGATAGTGCTCTCGTCCCCTGTCAAAGAGGCGAAGTAATCGCCGTATTCCTTCGCGCAATCTCGCATCAGTATGAACATAGATTTCATCTTGCTCGACGTGAACGCGGGGCTCAACAGGTTTCGTATCTCTCTCCACCTGTCCCCACGAAGGGCGAACAAGTTCTTGGCGAACAATGGGTCGGTCGCCTCGTTCTGGAACGATCTGTGATCCGGGAATTGTTCGAAATGCTTCACGGAGATCGTCTTGATCAGATCCGTGTCCCGGATCATGAACACGGGTGTGGTTGTGTCGTACATGCCAAGGTACTTCACGTCGGGATACGAGTTGTAGATCTTTCTCGATATGTCGGCGAAATTATCCCGTTGGATAACCGCCTCCCAAAAACTTCCCAACAATGGTATCGAGCTGTAATAAGGGATCCCTATTCTTTCGAAATATTTGTACTTCCAAATCAATTGATAATAGGCTATCACGAGGACGGCGACTATCGCCGCGGTTATCGACCACGAATCGAGCATCGTTAATGTTGTTTATTATTCGAAATATAATTACTTCTCTTCGAAAATTGTATATTTTTTTAAATATCTAATATCGATTATTTATACGTCTGGTTTCCAGTTTATCTTTCATTTACGTAACACGATGTTCACAGTGTGGTGTTCATTATCGAATTCGCGATGATTTTTCTTCGTTTTTCGATCGTTTAAATGAGAACGATTTTATACTACGCGTCGAACACACGCCACGGATAACACGATACTGAAAACGCGGCTCGATGGAGACCATGTATGTAAACTCTACTACCTAGCAATTGTGGCGCGTAAATGTGTGTTATGATGAGGGCATCACGCTATTTATATACTGGAGCGTGAATAGTACACAAATACAGAGAAGAAAAAAAAAAAACCAATCTTATCGAGTTTCCGAGAATTTTAAAAATTTCTCTCGTAATAATCTTAAGATAATAATCTTAAGAATTATTATTGTTTTATTATTTCTTATTCAAAAGTTTTCGATTAGATCGATTAGATTATTTTAGATTATCGTTTACTTTTTGTCAAATATCGAATATTAAAATTTTGAGTTTTCGTACGTTTTCTTTTTCCCCTTTCTCCCTTTCTCTTCTATCCTTTCTTATTTCGATGCCAAATATTAGATGAAATAGAAAATTATCTTATTAGAAAATTAGATAATCAAGTAATTGTATCTTCATTACTATCTATTATTAATTTCAATTTTAATTGATAATTTCCTTAAATTTTATCTTTGTCTTCCTGTAAATATTTTGTATTTCTGTTCTTTTTCTTTTTTTTTTTTTTTTTATTTACGTCATTTGATAAATAAGACCTTTTTTTCCAGGAATTAAGAACGATTAAAGATATTTAAGAAATATAAAATATTGATACAAATTGTGGTGAAATAAAATAAAAAATTATTTTAATTAAAACCCTTTTAAGTATATAAACAAATCATTGTGAAACCATAGCAAACGTTCTCTTTTTTATACTGACTTTATATTCAAATGATCTTTTCCTTGGAAATGGAAATAATGAAAAAAATATCATTCTTGAATAAAATATAATTTTATCAAATAGATTTACTTGTTAGATGTTTATTTATTTATTGGTGTTTTCATTTCATTTCATTCTCCTTTTTTAAAGAAAATCGTTGTGAATTTATTTCAATTTATATAATATTAAAAATTGTTAAAATATAAATAATATAAATAAATAATAATAAATTATTAAAATATTAAAATAATATTAAAAAATAATCATAACTTATACCGAGAAATATTATCATTACATGATAACAATAATCTTAACAAAGGAAAATGAAGATTGAAATCGATGAGTGTACAAAAAAATAATAAAATGCTCGTTCCTTCTCCAAATATGGTAAAATATTTGTAACAATACTGTTACAATTATGTAGAAACTTTGAAAAATCCTTTTGAAAATAATTCTACAATTTTTTCCAAGCTATCCATTAACGCAGAATTAAAATTTTATAAAAAGAAAAGAATAATATTTGATTCAAAAATAATCTGCATTTTAACAACAACTTTAGATAATTAAAGTTTTTATTGCAATTTAAATCTGTATATTCTAACAACAACTTTTACTTTGGATGATTAAACATGATGATCCATAACTTTCATTACAATTTAAATCTATCTTTATATCTTGAATATAAAATCTTCCCTTTCACAATGTTTCCTTCGTTTCACAATTCCAATTTCTTTGTCAAATAAATAAATTAATTTATATAATCGTCGATTCATACTCGTAAGAATTGTAGAAACGTAATTAATAATTGGATTATACATCATTATGTAAATATCATGTTACGGCAATCACATTGTTGACCACGCAAATCAAATACATTTTTCGATGAGATATCATGAGAAATCGACACGATTCACATTTCATTCGATCGTTGCAAGATCATTTAAATGCGTGTACAAACACATGGCTCAAAGCGTCGAAAGATAAATCAGAAAACTAATATTATAAATAACAAAATTTTCTGAAACTCGGATAACCAATTAATACAACTTTTAAAACAAAAAAAAATAATAATCAAAAACCGATGAAAAATATAATAAAATATTTTGTCTGTGTGATATCGGCGACAAACTCGTGCGAAAATATTCACGATCGCCACACAACATACAGATCTCCATAACTTTCGTTTCATTTATTATATTAATTAAATAATTATATAACTCGATGCCTGGGCACGATTCTCAACCAAAATCCATTTTTCGCCGTGAGAAACACTCCTCTCTTCCTCAACTCCATAGGTATAGTCGTTTTCGGGCAGACCTCTAACCGACATCTGGCAAGAATATGAAACAACGCGACTTTGGTTTCCACCATCGAAAATCTATTCCCGATGCAATTTCTTGGACCCGTGCCGAAAGGCATGTACGCGTCATTGTTGAAAACATCGCTCTTCTCATTATTCAAAAATCGATCCGGATCGAAGCAATCGGGTTTCTCGAAATACCTCGGATCGCGTTGGATCGCGTAGATCGGGAACCAAACGTGAGAGCCCTCTTTCAACACGTAAGGCTTCGTATCCGGCAGTACGGGCGGTAATTCGAACCGTTTCGAACACTCCCGGTCCGTGATGGGTATAATTGGATACATTCTCAGTGTCTCGTTGATCACAGCGTCTAGATATCCCAGACCGTTCACTCGTTCGAACGTGATCTCGTTATTGGAAACTAGAACACGATCTATCTCGGCGTGAACTTTGCCCTGAATCTCTGGATTCGCCGCCAATTCGTGGGCGGCGAACGATAATAAACCGGAAGTTGTCTCGAATCCACCAAAGAAGAACACGAAAGCTTGAGCAGTGATATCCTCGACGGTCAACTCATTTCGACCTTTCGACCTGTTACTGTCCATCATTACTTGAATGAAATCCGGCCTCGTTATACCCCTCTCTTCCCTCATCTTTATATTGTCAGACACGACCTGGGTGAAGAAATCGGTCGCTTCCTTGCTCACCAGAGACACGCCCAATCTTTTGGCCAATTTTGGAAACGCGAAAATTAGGATCAATTTTAGAATTGGAGTGCTGTGGATGTCCAGGGCCTCTCTTCCCAACTCGTAGAATTTATTCTCCCGATCCGACAAGGAATCTACGGTGATGCCGAACGCGCAAGTGGCGAATACGTCGTTTGCGTATCTGGTGAACACGTCCTTCATCTCCACCACATCTTGCCCCGGTGGAAGAGTCGATAGATACCTCGCAACGTTTACGGCGATCCCGGACATCGAACGGTGCATGGATCTTATCTTGCTGGCGCTGAAGGCTGGAGTGTTCAGAGATCTGACCTCTTTCCATCTGTTGTCGCGCAGCAACAGCAAATTACCAGAGAGCAACACGTCGTCCGTTTGCGCGATGTTCACGGTTCTGTGGTTCCTGAAAACGTCGAAATTCTTCACGGCGATCGTCTTGATCAATTCCGGGTCGCGGATCATCACGACTGGTGTCATTCTGTTATAGAATCCCACGTATCTCGCGGATGGAGCTAGATTGTAAATCTCTTGAATCACGACAGCGAATGGTTTTCGCCTCAATATCGATTCCCACGTACTACCGAGAATTGGAAGATAACTTTTGTAAGGTAAACCGTGCTCCTCGAAAGGATTTTGCGATTTCAGAAGATGGTACGATCCCAGAATCGCGAGAACAATCAGCGATATCACGAAAATTATCATGATGATCGTTTCGAGTGATTTTGAGGTTAGGTTGTTTATGCAAGCTTGAAACGTTGATCCTCTTTGAACAATATTGTTTTTCCAAGACGACGATAATCTAAAAATATTCATCGAATTAGATAATTGAGTAAAGTATATAGATATATCGGTTAAATAATCGAGTGATTAATAACGAAAGGTTGTACGTCGAGTGATGCGTGATTAGAGGTTATGTGATCGATGATAATTGTATTTTTCGTTTATTTCATCGATCGTGATGAAACAAATTTAATACGAATAATTGAATCATTAAGTTATACATTTATATTCGAATAATCAATTAGAGATTTAAGAATGAATGGAATTCGATGTATAAGAAAATATACGTATACTTACGTGTTTTCTCTGCATTGTCGAGAGAATGACACAATGATTCAAAGTTCGTTTCTTGAGTATAGAATGATCGCATCGCATCGAGTATACTTCGTGTTTAAATTATGATAATTTTAATTGTGCAATAAAAATCTTCCAAAGAGGTGTTTTGCTTAGAAAAACTTGTTTTAAATTACAATTAATTAAAATAAATTAAAATAATAAATGCTTAAATACGGAGATGTACGGTTAATTATTATTGAAGGCATTTTTTTAAGTAATTCTTCTTTTTCAGCGTTATCAATCATTCTTAATTATCTGTTTATTCGTATATCGCGAATTGTGCATTTTAATTATTTGTAGAAAGAATAATCTCCTATCTTGATGTGATATTTTGAAATTTTGTTGATTCGTTGATATAAATTACTGAATAATCTTCTACTTACGATGATGCATATTATATTTGTTGCTTCTCCATATAATGTATTCATTTTCATATCGATCTAAAAAACCAAGCAAAATTAATTGCACAAATAATTAAAATTTGCTTATTTTTTAATATTATTACATATGTGTCATATTATGTAGTTGAACCAATTGAAAGATGTAATGAAAAATATTAATTTGAATAGTTATATTTTATATTTTTAATACCTCATATGGGAAAAAATATTTCTCTACGTACAATTGAAAAGTATAAAAACTTTTTCAACGTAAAAAAAAAAATATCATTTTAGATATTTTGCGCGTGAATATTATCTTTGAAAGATTTTTAATCGCAGAATAATCAACAGATAGTAATTATCACACAAAGAACTTTGTAAATATCAAATAAATTATAAATATAACTGTCAACAATATTTTGTGCCCAATTATATTATCTCTACGATTCTTTTTTACAAATTTTATATATTATATCATTTATGCATGTATTTTTTAAAAAAATATAAAATTACTTACTTAATTAATTAGAAATGATATTTTCTAAAAGAAAATATTATGTTCTCGTTAACAACTACCGTAAATTACAAGAATTTCCTTCTTCTGTAACATATCTATTAGCACAGTACTACTGGCAATATATAGTACTGACTATATATCTTGATTTCTCGGCCTTGAATTTATCAAACAATTACCTTTAATGTGCTCGTATTCAAATCTAAACATTAAAAATAAAAACTTGTTATTATAAAAAAAAACATATTAAAAAAAAAAAGAATTTTATCTATCACTCTTTTTAATGCATCCAATTACAATTTCTAGATTTAGAAAATTAAGCAACAAAAATAAAATTAGTTTTGATGTATTTAACAGATTTTAACAATTTCAAGAAAAATTCTCATGCGTGTAAAATCGCCAATCATCTTGCAACACAAACAACTTCATTTAACTCCCCACTATACTTAAAAAATTCACATTATTATTATTCTCTTCGTACTATCATCACTTTGTTTACTCATACTTTTGCATAAAGTGCGCACTTAATAAAATCTTCTACTTCCATCTCGAAGATAAATATTTGCCATTCAATTTAAAAGAACGACAAACATCTCGATAAGAGAGAAACAAAAAATTGATACGATTCAACGTGTCAAGTTAATCTGCTACTAATTGAACTTGATCACATATCGTCTCTTTCTATTTCCTTCGAATCCAATTCAGAAATACTTTCTCTTATCCGTGTCGACGTTATTCAACACCTGTGATTCATTTTTCTTAACAACTTGATAAAATAAACCTCTCAAAAAAAAAAAAAAAATTTAATCTCTCTATCATCGACAAATAATGATAATATATAGCTACTTTGGAGCTTCTTTAAAAAAAATATGAAAATGTATCATTCGTCTATATTCGTTGGATCCAATAATCAATTTGCACAACTCATCATGGTGGATCTACAATCTTCTAATTTTTACAAAGTTAACTTATCTGATGTGTTCCAAGAAATCAATCGATTACGATGCAGAAATAACGAACGTGAGTGGAACATTGAGACAAATATAATGCATTATATAATAAATAAATTAATTCCATCTTTCTAATTCAACACTTTCGTAGAATTATATATTTATAATTTAAAAAGGCCAATTATAAAATTTGTCCTATCTTGGAAAATATCGATTATTATTCATTTGTTAAATTATAAATTTTAACAGTTTTATCCCATCGAGATTTTTGAATGCTAATATTTTCCTTTCCTGTTTGTTCTATCCTCTAAAAGAATCAATCCTTTCTTTCTTCATTCTTCAAACACGAACGTATCAATATTCCATGTACGTATCGTACAATGAATTCAATGCTAATCACGTTACAAAATTAAAACGAGAGAGAGAAAGAAAAAACGATATCTCCAGCACGTTTGACCGACCAGCAAAATCTGAAAAAGAAAAAAAAAAAGATTTTTCATTATATCCGCAACACGATAAAGTGAAAAAAAAATAAAAATAAAAATAAAAATTTTAAGATTTAACAAATGTGTTATACGTGACGTAGTTATCATTATCAGTCAAACATTATTGGATATAACGATGCGAGACTAATATTGCAATTGGACAAACCTCTCCCCTCCCCCACTCTTCGATCCTCTCTCCTCTTTCCCTCCCCTTAAAAACTTGTATAAAAGACTTTATCTCGCGCGTATTACATCCAGTCCTCTCCATTCAGACAACTATTCCTTCCAATTTCAAATTCCAGCATCGATATGGATTATCTATCCATCTCTCTCTCATTGATAGCCGTGTTTACGGCCATTTATTACCTAGCCACGAGGAATAACGATTTCTTCAAGAGACATGGGATACCTCACGCGCCGCCCACCCCGTTCCTGGGAAACTTTGGCTCGTTGATCAGACGAAAATCGAATTTGTACGATCTGATAGAGCGGATCTACAACATCGATCCCGATGCCAAATACGTTGGCATTTACGAGTTCACCACGCCTATTATAATACTCCGCGACCTGGACCTGATCAAGACGATCACGATGAAGTATCTCGATCATTTCCCCGATCACCGTCCATTCGTGTACGAGGGCGCGGATCCCGTTTTAGGGAAAATGTTGTTCGCAATGAAGGGGGAACGTTGGAAGGAGCACAGGAACATGCTCACCCCGACCCTCACCTCGAGCAAGATCAAAGGTATGTTCAAGCTGATGACCGAGTGCGCGGTGAGATTCGCCGACTTTTTGTCCGTCCTCCCTGAAAACGAGCGCGAGACGGAGATGAAGGCACTCCTCTCTCGATACGCGAACGACGTGATAGCGAGCTGCGTGTACGGCGTCACCGTCGACTCGATAAACGATCCTAAAAACGTGTTCTACGTGTACGGGAGGAGGGGGACCAACGTGGTCGGCTTGAAGAAGAGCATGTTCGTGTTGATCCACAGGAACATGCCCTGGCTGGCCAAGCTGTTCGGGTTGAGGTTCCTCGAGAAGCACGTGCAAAAGTTCTTCTACGATCTGGTCTACGAGACGATCGAGGGCAGGGAGAGGATGGGCGCCAACAGGTCGGACGTGCTGCAACTGTTGATCGATGTGAGGAACAAGGCCAACGATTCCGGCAAGAGGACGACGATGACCGTTGAGAACGTAGCCCTTCACGCGTTCACCTTCTACTTCGGCGGCTTCGACTCGATCGCCTCCGTCACCACCCTTCTGACCCACATGCTCGCCGAACACCCGGACGTGCAGGCGAGGTTGCAGCAGGAGATCGACGAAACGTTGAGGAGCAACGGCGGGGAGTTGACCTACGACGCGGTAAATGGGATGAGGTACATGGAAGCCGTCATCAACGAGACTATGCGCCTCTATCCCACCCTGCCCTTCCTGGACAGGATGTGCGTGCAAAGCTTCCAATTGCCCCCCCCTCTGCCAGGTGGCCAACCTTTCACCCTCCGCCCGGGGATGAACGTTTGGATCCCGTTGGCGGCGATCGGCCGGGATCCCGAATACTTCGACGAGCCGGACAAATTTCACCCGGACAGGTTTTTCAATGGGGAGGGGATCAAAAATTCGGGGGCGCACTTCCCGTTCGGCCTCGGGCAGAGGAAGTGCATTGGCGAACGATTCGCCATGATGGAGATGAAGGTGTTGCTCTGCTACGTCCTTGCGGCGTGCAACGTGAGGATCGGCTCCAAGACAATGGTCCCCATGGAATTGGAGAAGGGCGTGATCAACGCGAGCGTCAGTGGTGGTTTCTGGTTGAAGATCGAGCCTAGGAAGGTTACTTATTACAATTCTTCTCGTGTCGATTAATTATTATTATTATTATTATTATTATTATTATTATTATGTATTATATTTTGTATGTAATTTGAGTTAATAAAAGAATATATTTATTGTTTGAATCGTTTTTCTTTTTTTTTTTTAATGTGTCGCGTTGGAAACGTGTGTGTGGATTTTTTTTTTTTTTTTTTTTATTCTTCTTTGCGTTCGAGGTTCGAACGATAATTGGAAGGAAAATAAACGACGTGTTGGAGCCGGTAAACAAGTGTAAATGTGTCGTAACGTGCGTGGAAAGATCGATGACAGGGAAATAAAGTATATATATATATAGAATTAATTGTTCGATAATGTATCCTTAAGTTGCGTTTAGTGTAAATATTAATTTATAGTAAAATTTCCTTTCCAATGACGAAGATGAGATTAATTAATTAATTAAATAGATAAGGCAATTAAATCTTGAGATAAAGATTCCTCCTGAGAAAGTCAGATTAATTAATTAAACGGATAATAAAATCTTGAGACAATGTGATAATATTGAATTAAGTAATTTCATCATTATCGAGAACTGTATTTAATGTAACATGTTGTATAATTGCTGTCTCATTGATGCAAAGATCGATAAAAGTCGAAGATCTTTGTTGTAATCGATACAGATGAAGATTCTGCTTTGTTGAAGTGGCCAATGATGCTGAAAACGACGTTGAATTAGAATAAATTTTTCGTGAGGAGTTTCAAAATTTAAGAATTATTAATATTAATATTATTTAAATTAACTTGAAATTAAATATATAAATATATGTATAAATGTTAAGCTTTGATTTATTTTTTTATATCACGTAAAAGATTTTTACAAAAATCCATCTTGCTCTAATTTGATATATCTTATTTTAAATTCCAAAACTCTTACTTACTTTCGGACCAAGTACAAATAAAAATAAAAACGTTAACAAATATATATTCGTATTTCCGAAAATTTTGCCTTTCCTTTAAAAATTAATACGATAATAATAAAAAAGAAAGAAAGAAAGAAAGAAAAAAATAAAAAATCAAAAAATTCCTCTTTCCTTTCCCCCCACGGAATCGCGCCTTTCCCCACTAACACGGCGAGACAATACACCTCCCCCCCGGATCCACCCTTACGATCCTCCAGTTCATTAATTTTGACCAAATGCCTGGCCTCTATAGCGTTGCTTCGATCGCTAACCTCCGGTCCTCGAGCTCTCTCGCCTCCATCCTTGGACCATTGGCAAACTGAATTACATTAGAGAGAGAGAGAGAGAGAGAGAGGGGGCAGAGGTATGTGTATGCGTGTATGTGTGTGTTTTATCGAGTCAACCTGCCAGATATATCCTAAGGCGGGCAAGGATATCGTCGAATCCGGAAAGGGTGTACAACGACCCGAAAGAAAGTTGGCACGCGATAATCTGCAACTGTAAACCCTGAATTGTTTCGCGCGAATACCGTTACTTGTTGTTGACTTGTTTATGGAAATATTTCGTTGCATTGTTTCCCTGGCTTACCGAACTCGTTTTGCTATTGTTAACTATGCGGTTGTTATTGGTAAGTTGGTACGGTTGTTGCTAATGGTACGAGTATTAGTTTAGATTGGTTTCCAAGAGGAATTTATTGGGAAATTCGCGTATGGTTTCCGGCTTCGATGGTTCTTCAATCTCGAGATTTAGATTTTATTGTGATATTAATGTAACATTAGTGGGATTATGTCTAGATTATCATGATTATGAGGTGGTATTAAAGTATGTCGTTTATTATTCGTAATTGCACCATTACTTATTCGAAATAAAAAAAAGATACCTAAATATCGAAATAACGAAATAAAAAATAACCAAAAGAATATCGAGATGAAAAATTTCGTTTCTACATGCTTGCTAAGGATGCTTCCAAAAACTTTTGCGCGCCACTGTACACAACAAACTTGTTACAATTATTTATTTTAAATAAAAAAAAAAAAAAAAGAAAAATATTCAAATATCGAACAAAATGAAGAATAAAAAATAACCAAAAGAATATCGAGATGAAAATTTCGTTTCTACATACTTGCTAAGGATGCTTCCAAAAACTTTTGCGCGCCACTGCACACAACAAACTTGTTACAATTATTTACTCGAAATAAAAAAAAAAAACTTAAATATCGAATAAAATAAAAAATAAACTTTCAAAAGCTTTTGCGCGTCACTGTACACAACAAACTTGTTACAATTATTTATTCTAAATAAAAAAAAAAAAAAGAAGAAAAATATTCAAATATCGAACAAAATGAAGAATAAAAAATAACCAAAAGAACATCGAGATGAAAAATTTCGTTTCGACATGCATCGCTACGGATGCTTTCAAAAACTTTTGCGCGCCACTGTACACAACAAACTTGTTACAATTATTTATTCGAAATAAAAAGAAAAAAAAAAAGAAATATTCAAATATCAATGAAACAAAATGAAGAATAAAAAATAACCAAAAGAACATCGAGATGAAAAATTTCGTTTCGACATGCATCGCTACGGATGCTTCGAAAAACTTTTGCGCGCCACTGTACACAACAAACCTCGGGTATCCGGGTTTATATCCTCGACAAGGGTGTTCTAAGCGCGAGTTATAATCTCCGGTCGCTTGATTTAGGCACGTATTCGTAGATGGACACCTCCGCTGATTTCGAAACAGCACAAACGAACCGTCTGAATATGAGATAATATTGCGCGTAGTCCGATTACGAAGTTACCCTAACAACACCACGTTGTATACGCGGGGGGAGGGGGAGGGATAATAACCGAACCGGCCCGCTTTTGATTCCCTCCACCATCGTTTCCACCAAGCTCTCCCAAGTATCTCCCCGTTTCCCGCCCCCGTTTTCGCGCTCATTTTGTTTTCCAAGACTTAATTTAATCCGGCGAACAATCGGGATCGTTCCCAAAAACCGCGATTAACATCCTCAGGAAATACGTGCGTAATTAGCGAAATGTCGTTCGAATCGATTCGGTTGAATGGAGATTCGGGATTTGTGGTTTGTTCCTCTCTCTCTCTCTCTCTCTCTCTCTCTCTCTCTCTCTCTCTCTCTCTCTCTTTTTCTCGATTTAATTTATAGATTTAATTTGTATTTTCGAGAACGAAGACCATCAATGCACGGATCTTTTTGGATTTCAAATAGAGGGTTAGTTTTTCTTTTTTTTTTTGAAATCTCTCTGCTCTTGAGCGTTCTCGATTACTATATATCTCGATGATAGAGGAGATACAAACTTTTGATAATAACTTTTGATAAATAAATTCAATATAATAATCTCTCGATATATACAGTTCGACCGAATTGCAATTGTTCTCTCAATAAAATAAGAAAAAAATTTCTCTCTATACAAATAACAAGAAATCGAGAAATCTTTTTCAAAAACCTTTCCAAAAATTTTTCAAAACTCTTCGAAATCCGAAATCGCATCCAAGCAAGCGCATCCGCATCGTGCACCCGCGGAGGAAGGAAGGAAGGAAGGAAGGAAGGAAGGAAGGAAACAAGCTTTCGGCCGAAACTTTGCCACGAACCTTTTCCCTTTCCAGGATCGAACGGGACCGGGCGGAGCGAGGTGGAAAAGTAGACGGGGGACGGAGAGAGAGAGAGAGAGAGAGAGAGAGAGAGAGGATGGTAGGAAGGGAAGGAAAACGAGGAGGAGAGGGTCGGAGGAACAAAATTCATTTGGCCAAATTAAACAGAGTTTAGCAATTTGCGCTTAATCCATTTGTCGGGGATCCAGCGTCCGTCAGTCCATCCGTTTGCTCCGTCCCTCCCTCTCTTCTCTTCTCTTCTCTCTCTCTCTCTCTCTCTCTCTCTCTCTCTCTCTGTCTCGCTCTCTCCATCCATCGACAGTCTACACGACCACCACTATGCACCCTTTCCCTGCACCGGAGGCCCTTCCAACGTTTCACCTTAACTCCTGTCGATACTAATCCCTCCCACGCCTCTCCCCTTTCTCACTCACCCTCTCTCCCCCTCTCTCTCTCTCTGTCAGAGCTCTTTCCAAAGAGGCGGAGAAGCCGGCTAGCTCTCTTTGGCCTCGCATGATTCGCAGGGTGCCACTTTGAGAACGGGGTGTCTCGCAAATTTCCGGCGCGCACAAGGGCTGTTAATAAATTGCTGGCCACCCCCCTCCTCCCCGTGATGGTTAACCCATCGCGCGCAAACGATTTCACGCGTAGGATCGATAAAGAGATTCGATATGTTATATATTTCGATGATATCGTTGATCTACGAGTTTGGTCCGAGTTGAATTGCGAGAGATGGATTCAATGAGGTGGAAAATTCGATAAGAGTTAAAAGAGTGAATATTGGACAGGGTGGAAGTAGAAGAAGAAGAATTGGATGGAAAAGGAAGGAAAATTTTCGAACGATAGGGGTGACTTTTATTTCGATTCCTCTTCGTCTTCGTTTCCCAAAATTTTTAGGAAAGAAATATTGGATAAAGAGATGTGGAGGAATGAGAATTCGTTCGTGTTTTATCGTGGCTTTATTTAATGGGTGGAAATTTCGTTTGCAGAAAAGGAAAGGGGGACGTTGATTGTGTTTGATGGAGGTAAGGATTATTTCTCTGATTTCTATATGATAAGCATGTAGAATGAGATTGTTATTCGAGATTAATATTTAGTTTGGTTTATCAAAGTAGAAATCACGAATTAATTCATTGAAATAAAAATTAATATTCGAAGAGACCTTGAAACTTCTCGAACACGCGGGAATTATTTCGAGTTACAAGTTTAATGTTCTCGAGAAGGTTGTCGATATATTTCTACAACGACAACGAGAACTAAAGCATTAAACTTCGAAGAAGTGAATCGTTCAAAGTTTTCGGTGAAACTTTCCGTTTAAGAAAGTTGAACAAATTTCCTCCTGTATGTTTATTAAAAAATCGAAGGCGAACGCTTTCAAATACCCGGTAAACAAAATTTATAGCAATGGAAGATTAAACAGAGACTAAACTGATTCGAGGGCTGACCCACGGATCGCGTCAGCCTAATTTCTCGAGTGCCTCGAACGCAATAAATCTACAAGCAGGACGTAAAGATATATCGTCCCGACTTTCTTCGATCCTTATTCACGCCGAACTGCGCCATATTCCGCTCACCT